TTAGCTTTTTATGACATTACTGAATTTTCTCAATTTGATTTCAATAACTATTTTCTTGCATAATCCTTACCCTTTATCTATGTAGTCTGACCATTTGATCGCCTGTACAACCATATTTTTTTAATTTTTTTAATTTTTTTTATTGCTATTTTATTAATTTAACATTTTTACGGTTTTAAATCAATATAACTTTCAACCTTGTGCAAGAATTTTGAGCTTGACTGGTGGTCAAACAGACTTTAATATGATGAACATAGTATTTAATGTTCGAATGCTTTTTTTCAGCTCTTTTTTTTCAGAAGCGAAATTTGTGCAGCTACTATGATTATTATAAAATTACTATCATTTTAATATTAACAATGAATCAGCTTGACTAGAGCCTGAAATAATATCTATTATTATTGATTATGGCTTGCTTATGAATAAATAAATAAATAAATAAATAAATAAGGTACAAAAACACCGGTTTAAAAAAAATGTATATATGTATTTATTTCCCAGGAAGGACATATTTCTTCAAAGGCAAAGGTTTTTGGGAGTTCAACGACTTACAAATGCGAGTAAAACACAGGCACCAGAAACTGTCAGCCCCGTTTTGGATGGGTTGTCCTCGAACTTTAGGCGTCGATTCATCTGCAGAGAAACGCCTGAGGTACACCAGCGCTGATTCTGATGAATGGACATCATCAGGGCACTCTCTACGATCAGATATTGCATATCGAATAATCTTAATGATACTGCCGACTGCTTTACTAATTATACGAATACGCTGATTGCCAGGATTGAGTGAAGTTTTGGTATAATCTTTCAGTTTGAGGTACACTAATGTGAATAGTTTTTAAGTGGATAATTATAAGTTTATATATTTCGAACAGTTTGTGAAAATCTTATTCATGTTTGGTAAAATTAGTGCGTTGTTCATTTGGATGAAGTAACTTGTACGATACTCTAAGTAGATGCGTTTCTTGTGCCGTACCAACATTGATTCCGTATCAAAATTGATCCAATATTGCAGTCAAAAAATTATAACCCAAAAATTTAAAAAGAACCTTTTGTGATTGGTCGTTTAAAAAAAATATTTTAGCGATAACTATCAATTTTTGAATAGTTAAAACTCGTGAGTAATTTTTGGTTTCTGCGGATGAAACATTTTTCATCGAGTTTAAGTATTTATTAAATATAATATACAAGATAATTCGAATAATAATTTTTGAAATTATTGATGATGCAAAAGAATTTAAAATCTATCAAGTGTTCAGATTTAAATGTCAAGACTTGCTCAACTGTGCTTTTATAGTTATTTGAATTAATAGCGTACCTTTGTAATGAACTGATTTAAAATTTAAAGTTTTTGAAGATATTAGTTTGTTCTTGAATAATATCAATTACATATCTGCCACTATATAACAAGTTGACAGTGTTTAAGTAATATTATATCTTTATTAAGATTTCAGGTTGGTTTGGTGATGAAATAATCTTAAGAAAAATAATATAAGACATTTCAATCAAGGATTATTTATTTTCATTAAAAATAATAAAACATCAAATAATTAATAAGGGATTTCCTTCAATAATAGAAGCATTTATTATATAAACATATCTGTGTAATATTCACAATATGATAAATTTTGCAATTATAAATTTATAATTAATATTTATTTTATTTTATTAGAATGGCAATTATGTAGTAAAATAATTTTATGATTAATTAATGTTAATTATTAATATGAATTCAAAATTTGACACATAAGTCATTCCAGAAATGTTTGGGAATTTTATTATTGGCTAATTAGATAGTTATGAAATTTATTGCAATTATGTATATGATTATTTGTAAACTTTGTGAAATCATGAAATTTATTGGTAATTTGGCTTTAGTCATCACATTTTGATTATTTCAATATATTGCAATATGCAGCAATTACTGAAATGTAATTGTTTAGTTATTAATTATAATATTTGGTTATTAAAATTATTTAATATTGATATATTAAGTGAAGAAAAATAAAATATTATTTTGACTATTTTTAATTGACAAATTAGCGAAAATAAAATATTAAATTGAAACCTCGTATGCATTTTTAGCTACATTATAAGAAATACATTTATAGTTTTTTTAATATGTTATGATTAGTTCACATTCAATATTGTCGGAATTATTTCTTTTGTAATTAGATCTAATTATAAGTTTTTTCTTAAGTTAGATATTTTATATATTATGATCATTCGGTAAATAAGAGACATCAGAACATTATATTTGTAATTAACACTATAATGTAAGAGGTAGTATTTTTTTAAAAACTATATTTTTATAAATTATGCGATGCATTGGAATTTTATAACAAATATTTTGCTAACTTTCTATTTTTCGAGTTCACAGAAAATAATGTGAAAATTTTAATATTTTTATTCTTAAGAAATAATGAAGATATACAGTACATATATTTTAATTAATTTTTTATGTTATTTTTAAGAATGAAGCCAATATGTGCTTAGAGATGTGACCGCATTATGACTAAAAAATTTGGAATATTTTTAAAAGTTGTATTTGTCTGATGTATATATATGCTAGTGATAAAATGCACATGATATTGTAACATAGTGCCTATTACATATAAACTGCCTATTCAATATAGTGTTTGGCTATATATTTTTTGATCATCAAATACAATATTGAAGGCATTCGCAAAGTGCACAAAGAAAAAAGAACAATTAATTTTGAATATATGAATATTTTGAACTAATTTTTAAATTTCTGACGTTTATCTATCGTAACATAATAAAATCAATTTCTTTCTACAAAAATAATTATTTATATAATTATACATAAAATTTCTAATAATCAAAAACATGTATTTCTCAAAATAAATATGAATATAATAACCTGATATAAACATGATAAATAATGAATGTGGGTTTAAAGATATATTTTCTACATTCACTATAAAAAAATTTGGCATAAGAATATATTATCAAAGTCTAATATAGTATCATTCAGAATATGTATGCATTTTATGGTAAATTTACATCATAACAATCCAATATATATCATGTATTTAACCAATATATACTGTGATATTTAATTGTAATACATTTTGAAATAAACATTTTGTATTATGTTTTGAATTTATGAAAATGTTTGATTGCAAACGATATTGTTATTATTATGGATTACTTTCATATTTTTTTATGTAGGAGTAAAAGAACAATTGTATGACATCAGGTATATGACGTTCAACAGCACCATAAACATCCGCTGGAGCAAAATAAATTTGTCAATATATGATCAAATAAAAATCAATTTTATTAAAAATTCACCACCTACCCTGGTTGACCAATTCTGTGATGTGTCCCCTTGTAACATTGGCGACCCACTGATTCAAAATGGCAGCACTATCGTATTTGGTGACAGTACCATCACTGTTATTTTTATTTATTCTATTTGTAAAATTTATAGACATGATATCCGAGTCGTAGAACATTTTGGCAATCGCGTTGAAGCGCTGCCTTGGCTGGATCATGAGGGAAATGTAAATCCTGGTGTCGAAATCTAGATGGTAGGCAGGATTCTTGGCCTGGAGGAATAAATAGTAATAAAAATATAAGTAATATTAACAACGTTTGAATGTATTCAACCTTTAGTGAAGCTATAATTTTTCCTGCACGTTCCTGTTGCTCTGGTAACTTATATATACCAATAACTTTATAATGTTTGTGATGTGTATGTGTGTATATTTCGACATATATCTAGTATGGTATTTTCTCATTTCTAAAAATAAATTTTTAAATTATCTATATTTTGAAAATTGGTTTTATTTTATTATGAACACCATTTAAGCTGTTTGAAGATATTTTTATAATTAACAATCGTATACATAATTTTGAATTGTGTAGTTTATTATATTATGATCGCAGTAAATTTAGATTTGAAACTTGTTTGATAAATGAAAATTTTGTTTAAAGTTTTGTTTCATTGTAAAACTTATACTAACTGATCAAATCAATATGTAATCACATAAATTACTGTACTAATTTTTTTATAAAATTAGTTTAAAGTAGTTATAAAATAATTAATTATTGAAATACTCTTGTAAAAATTGTGATGATCAATTAAAATAATCATAAAATGTAAAAAGTAGTATTTATTATATGTTATTCATTTAATTGTTTTTCAACTTTGCAAAGGAGTGGTTTGTTTTCACTAGATAGTTGAAATTGCTTTTTTGTGTTTTCTCACAGAATGTCATTTAATTTTGATCATTTAAAATAAACGAAATTTAAAGAAAAATGTAATATTAAACATTTTTTGAATTAATTTATATTTTTCTTTTGACCTTGGTTTGATTTTTTTATATTTTAAAATATTTCACCAATTCTACTCTCAATAAGTACACAGTAAGACTCTTTTGCGCTAACTTTGTTAGTTTACAAATGTTTTGTGGCTAGTTTGTATCATCATTAGTAATTTTATTGTAAACTAATAAGTTAAAACTTGAAAATAATAAACTATTATGATTTTATTAGAAAATTGCTTTTGTTAATAAATTTCAAAATTATTCATGTATATGAGTGATATATAAATAAAACAGTAAAAATTTGTCTGTATATTTAAAAATGTAAAAGTATTTAACAAATTTTATACCTGAGAAAGGAAATGCAAACAAGTGTACTGTAAAACACAGGTTAGTGGAAGAAAATAAAATTTATTCTACACCAAATTTATTTATTTCAATAACCAACGACTAATTCATTGCAGTGTAAATTTTTAGAGAGTTTACTAAAAGAATGTAATATCGTTATTTAATTTATAAAACCCTTAATGTTAAAATTGAAGATTCAAATAAACGTCGTTTCGATTTCAAAACAGAAGAGGCGTTCGAGTTTCTGAAACGCCATCTTCGACCGAGCGAACGTGCACGCTTTGCAGTCGCACGTCTACAGGTCTTTTGCACATCTATGCTTTGCGACTCTAGGAGTTGGGAGAGGCAGTTGTCATTGCGAGTGAGAGTTCATTTCCATCGTGGCGATTGCTGGAAGAAGACAACGAGACGTCGTCGAACACGGACGAGCGGGCCTTACTCTTCGCTGCCTGTGGAGTACGTGCGATCTGCGAGCGTCACCTGGTACGTTGCACTTGTGCTGATTATATTTCTCTTTGCGGATTCGCTCGGATTTCATTTCGTGCTTTAAGATGTTTTAGATTTAATTGAAACCTTTCCTCATTCCTGTTTTTTTTTTGGAAAACGTGTGCTCGATATATGTAGTTTTTGCTCAAGTCCTACTACTGTGTAAGACGTACGCCGGATATTTATCTAATCATTTTATTTTGCATCATTTGGTGCCCACTGTTAAATAAAACTACATATTATTATATTGTTGATTGAGCAAGAGTTCACAATTGAATGGCTGGCGGTCATTGTGCAGAAGAAATAATCGAAAGTAATAGTAAAAAGTTATGAAAGTAAAAAATAATGACTGTTAATTCAGTTTGAGAATTATTGTGGGTACATTTATACGGATCGTTTAATTTGAAGTCTTCTTTACATCTTTATCATCTGCTAATTCACTTCAATTTATAGATCAGAATTATTGTATAAATTGGACCACAATCATCATGTCATCAAGAATTTTCCATGAAAGCCATTTTTTGTTTTAAATGCATAATTTTATTTCTTTTACTTGGAAAAAAGTTACAAATTGACAAAGAATAGTTACAATTTGAATGAATATAAAGATGCAAACGAAGACTATTCTGTGCTGGAGCGCTGCATTGCACACGAAGACAGCTTTGGTGACGCATCAACAATGACATTTAATAATGTATGTATAATCAACTAAATTTAATAATAATTTGTGTATTTTGCAGGTGCCGGGTAGGTTTGCGTTTGCTGCGTTTTTATACGAACATTGTTACTGTGACGCTCTGAATGTAGTATTTATTGGAATTGCATTTGGCACGAATAGATTTATTAAGCGGTGATTTTGTTCAAGATATTAATTGATCAATACTTTAGTTGTCACTATAACTTTTAGAAATTTACAAAATCATTCAGGCATTGTATTTCATGATTCGAATGATCACGATATGTCTTGCATGTGGGTTAATTTATTAGTTAGGTAGCATCAGTAGTTTTAATATTAATAATAACAAATACTAATACACTAATCTATTCAACTATTGAATAATAATGTGGTCGTTTGAATCATTTGAGATTATGCAATGTGGATTTGACATATTACATTAAATTTTAATTTTCACTGTTTGAAATTCATGTTAATGCATTTCATATAAAACCAAGTGCAATTCTTAAACTGCTAGTAAATTTCTACATTCTATTTCTGGTCATCAAGATGAAATCACATGGAGGCCACATCAAATCACATGGAGGCCATACCATATCAAGCAAATTGTTGAGTATCGAATGGCCAAGTATCGAGTGAAAATTGAACACTGACTCACTTCACCGGGAATCGCTCTGAAAATAATTTAAAAAGTACGTTTTTATCCATAATCAGTATAAATGTGAATATTAAATAACATATTTATTATTATTTCAGGTCCTTTCAACTACTGCTGCTCTGCACGCTGACTCACTTCACCAGGAATCTTTCCAGAAACATGTTACCAGTTATATATTTATCTATAATCAATATAAATGTGAACAATAAATAACAATTTTATTTTTTTTCAGGTCCTTTCAACTACTGCTGCTCTGCACACTGACTCCTTCACCAGGAATCGCTCTCTGAAAATAATTTAAAAAGTACGTTTTATCCATAATAAGTATAAATGTGAACAATAAATAACATGTTTATTTTGTTCCAGGTCCTTTCAACTACTGCTGTTCTGCACACTGACCCCTTCACCAGGAATCGCTCTGAAAATAATTTAAAAAGTACGTTTTCATCCCTAATCAGTATAAATGTGAACAATAAATAACATGTTTTTTTCCAGGTCCTTTCAACCATTGCTGCTCTGCACACTGACCCCTTAACCAGGAATCGCTCTGAAAATAATTTAAAAAGTACGTTTTTATCCATAACCAGTATAAATGTGAGCAATAAATAACATGTTTATTTTTTTCCAGGTACTTTCAACCACTGCTGCTCTGCACACTGACCCCTCCACCAGGAATCGCTCTGAAAATAATTTAAAAAGTACGTTTTTATCCATAATCAATATGAATGTGAACAATAAATAACATGTTTATTTTTTTTTCAGGTCCTTTCAACTACTTTGGCTCTGCACTTTGACTCCTTCACCAGGAATCCTTCCTGAAACATTTTACCAAGTATGTGATTTATCCATAATCAGTATAAATGTGAACAATAAATAACATGTTTATTTTTTTTCCAGGTCCTTTCAACCATTGCTGCTCTGCACACTGACCCCTTCACCAGGAATCGCTCTGAAAATAATTTAAAAAGTACGTTTTTATCCATAATCAATATGAATGTGAACAATAAATAACATGTTTATTTTTTTTTCAGGTCCTTTCAACTACTTTGGCTCTGCACTTTGACTCCTTCACCAGGAATCCTTCCTGAAACATTTTACCAAGTATGTGATTTATCCATAATCAGTATAAATGTGAACAATAAATAACATGTTTATTTTTTTCCAGGTCCTTTCAACCATTGCTGCTCTGCACACTGACCCCTTCACCAGGAATCCTTCCTGAAACATTTTACCAAGTATGTGATTTATCCATAATCAGTATAAATATGAACATTAAATAACATGTTTATTTTTATTTCAGGAATCGCTCTGAAAATAATTTAAAAAGTACGTTTTTATCCATAATCAGTATAAATGTGAACAATAAATAACATGTTTATTTTTTTTCCAGGTCCTTTCAACCATTGCTGCTCTGCACACTGACCCCTTCACCAGGAATCGCTCTGAAAATAATTTAAAAAGTACGTTTTTATCCATAATCAGTATAAATGTGAACAATAAATAACATGTTTATTTTTTTTCAGGTACTTTCAACCACTGCTGCTCTGCACACTGACCCCTTCACCGGGAATCGCTCTGAAAATAATTTAAAAAGTACGTTTTTATCCATAATCAGTATAAATGTGAACAATAAATAACATGTTTATTTTTTTTCAGGTACTTTCAACCACTGCTGCTCTGCACACTGACCCCTTCACCGGGAATCGCTCTGAAAATAATTTAAAAAGTACGTTTTTATTCATAATCAGTATAAATATGAACATTAAATAACATGTTTATTTTTATTTCAGGTCCTTTCAACTACTGCTGCTCTGCACGCTGACTCACTTCACCAGGAATCGCTCTGAAAATAATTTAAAAAGTACGTTTTTATCCATAATCAGTATAAATGTGAACATTAAATAACATGTTTATTTTTTTTCAGGTCCTTTCAACTACTGCTGCTCTGCACACTGACCCCTTAACCAGGAATCGCTCTGAAAATAATTTAAAAAGTACGTTTTTATCCATAACCAGTATAAATGTGAGCAATAAATAACATGTTTATTTTTTTCCAGGTACTTTCAACCACTGCTGCTCTGCACACTGACCCCTCCACCAGCAATCGCTCTGAAAATAATTTAAAAAGTACGTTTTTATCCACAATCAGTATAAATGTGAACATTAAATAACATGTTTATTTTTTTCCAGGTACTTTCAACCACTGCTGCTCTGCACGCTAACTCACTTCACCAGGAATCTTTCCAGAAACATGTTACCAGGTATGTCTTTAACCATATCAGCATAAATGCAAACATTCCTATAATGTTTCTTTCTTTTTTGCAGATCTTCTCGATCCAACTATTACTGCCCTGAAGCCTTAAATTCATTCACGTGAATGACTCGCAAGTGGTTTTTTTCAATGACTGTCTATAATTATGCATGACTAACTTAACTCTTATTAACTCAATAACATGACTAACCTCACTAACTTAATTATGCAGTTATTATAAAAACCACTTGTTGAGATTTACTATGAAGGTCTTAATGGGGTTACGTGGAAGACACCGCTCCATGATATTAATCAGGTAATTTATTCTTTATAGTATATTTTATGAGACTTGTTACTAATTCATTGTTTTCGTTTATAGGGTAAACAACTTCAAGCCAAGTGCTCTTCAACGCTCAAGTTGCTCATGAGTGAGAACAATCATTTGATCTACTAATTATGCTGTCCGTCCGTCCGTCCGTCCGTCCGTCCGTCTCTTCACCAGAGAAGATGCCTACTATAATATATTAAATAGTTAAGTGCTTAGATGTTAATGAAATAATGAATAAATATATTGTATTTAATTTAATTTGTTGTTTTAATTTAATTATGAGCCACTTCACGGCTAAATCACATCATGCTGTAACGTAAATTACAGAAATATTTAAACATGTCTACATTTTAAAAATTTCTTGTGTTATTGATAGGGATACTTATTGAGTGCACTCCTTAGTGTAGTCAATTGTGTAGAACAGTTTCTTCACTGTTTGGGTGTTTGCAAACATCTTGCCGCATCTTGGTAAAGCTCTTTATACCTTTGCTTCGACTCGGTAGAACTCTGCGTCATTGCTTTGACTCGGTAGAAACGCGTTGACAATAGACTTTGCTTTTTTCCAAACCATTATGTTAGTCGAGTGCCTTAAACATTTAATGTGTCAAACCGATGTTTTCTCTTGTTTAAATATTATACTTTCTATTATTTCTTTAAATGGCGCACTTTTTTTTCTTAGCTATAAATATCACTTAATTTAATATCATACTGTGTTATATATATATATATAATATATATATATATATACACCTAAGTCTGTTTTTACACGGTCTTTTTCTACACGTGTTTTTTTGATATAACATGGTTTGAAAATTGAATATTTTTAATTTTTTATACGATTTATTCCATTTAGCACGATTTCAAATTTTATGTACTTAAATTTTTTTGTCATATTTAATTTTTGCGAAGTATGTTTATATCACAAAAAAGTATTTATGAAAGTGAAAAGTCTGAAACCATCGATAGTATCGATAGTTTGCGAACACTAGCTTAAAGATTTAAGTGAATTCCGCTTTAGCGCGTACAAACAATTTTTACTGGTCAAAGCGAATGCGAATAACTGATGACGACAGCAATTAAATTTATGTTGTTGTATTTATGATTATCACTTATTCTATTTTATTTTATTTTTTACCTTAAAAATTGAATAACCTATTCTTTTTGTTCACAACATATTTTTTTAGTTCCTGAACTTGCTATATTACTTTTAATTTATATTACTTTTAAGATTAGAGTGCATATCTTTTTTATCATTAATTACTATGCTTGTGAAAATAAGCATTATATATTTGATTTAATAAAATAAATATGAATTCTTGTTCTTAAAAATTCTTGTTTTTCACTAATTTTAATAGGTTTTAGAGATTAGGAACAAATCACCCATTTTTGTATAAGATCAATGTCTTTTTTTACACGGCTTCTTCTGGAACCAATCTACCGTGTAAAAACAGACTTAGGTGTATATATATATATATATAATAATAATAACACAGTATGTAACAATAATATATATATATATATATATATATATATATATATATTATACAATTAGACAAATGTTAATGTATTTTAGTCATTTTTATTACTGCAATTGTAAGAATAAATTAATATAATTGTATTATTAAATACTGTGATACATTGATTGGAAGTTTTGAATAAAACTAACTAAACTTTATTTGAAGTGTTTCATTTCACACAATTTTCAGTGATATATGTTAAAAACGCACCGTATAGGTATAGGTATTATAAACATCAATATATTTGTTGATGTTATCATAAACACTAATATACTCATTAATTCGTTTTTCGGCGATGATTTATTATTTTGAATGAATTTCATAAAATATATTACATTTTTGTAATCTAATTCTATTATGATCAATAAAGTTGATGAAGTTATGACTTTGACCATTTTAAATAGACTAATCTATGGTTTTTCACTCATTTCAAACATGTCAAAAATGATAACACTTTTCACTCACTTCAATCTATACTATTATTCAAAGTGTTTAATTAGTTCATTTTAATTAATATACTTTTAATATTGGTCAGTTTTACTTAACTTTGGACATAGGTAATGAAGATTATTTATTTTTTTCCTCTTTAGCACAATGATATCTTCATTTTTATTGAGATAATTTATTTTTATTAGATTATTTTATTACTATATTAATTGTATTAATTTCCCGCGACACGTTTACGCTACCACCCTTCTCCTTACTTTATACTACCTTACCTAATGCTTATCTACGCGTTAAGAACTAATATTCTTACCTTGCTTACCTCTACCACGTCTCGAACCTGCTACCACGTCCTCTCCAGTGACTCCCAGCTCCTAACGCGCGACGCCACGACCATCACGTTAATAAACCGTTGCAAAGTAGATGATATTGTATATTTTAAACGATTAAAAAACTAACAGGTCATGTGGCAAAAAAAAAGTTGATTTTGTGTGGCCTGTGTTGGCGTAATGGATAGATTGATGGCTTCGTACCATAAAGGTACCGAGTTCGAATCATACCTCAGGACAAAAAAAAATATTGTTCGCATTGTGGTATTTATTTAGTGTTGAATAACACAAAATTAATATTTAGATATAACAAACTAACAAGTCATGAGTCCGAAAGAAAGCATAATCGATGTGGCCTGTGCTGGCATAATTGGTAGAGCGATGGATTCGTACCCAAAGAGTGCCGAGTTCGAATCGAACCTCGGGACAAAAAATGGAAAGCGTGGAGTTTATTATTTATTGTAAGATAGCACAAAGATAAAATTTGGATTTAATAAACTAACAGGTCATGAGGCCGAAAAAAAGCAGATACGGTGTGGCCTGTGTTGGCGTATTGCTAGCGTGCTAGCTTCATGTCAACAGGGTACCGAGTTCGATTCATACCTCCGGACACAAAACGCAAAATAGCGTGACTGTTGACGCTGTGGAACGAGGTATGCACGGAATCACATCCGTTCGAATTTGAGACCCCAGGCATGCTCCCCTCGATCTCGATTGAGAGGAGAGATACGCGCGAGAATCCCGCAACATCCCCTAATAAGCCCCGCAGCATCCCCGAAAAGGGGAGAGGGGGGACTATAGGGGGGTGTGGGGTTCGCGAACCCGCGACCCTGTGGTCCAACCCTCCCGAAAAAGGGAGAGGGGGGACTATAGGGGGGTGAGGGTCCCGCGCGACGACCACCACTGGGTCGCGCCGGTTGAAAAGCTGGGTGCGTCAGAGGTTGGGTCGGTGTGCGAGTCCCCGGAGCACCCTCGAGTGCGATGATGGGGATGTTGGGTGAGGGAAATGCAGTGACGAGGGAAAAAGGGGTGG